AAAAGCTTTGTACTGTAAAATATGTTGTAATATACATGGTTTTGTGATAATATTGTGCGTTTGAACATTCTAAATTGCATGGAACCAAAAATGAAGAATATTAATTCTCAAATAGAGGTTTTTGATCATGGCCAAGAATGTTTGACAGAAGAGCGCCTAAAATTCAATAGGCGATCGATTTGCTGCGATTTTGCGTACAATGTACGCGTGCTTGCAGTTCCTTCTTCCGCACATGTGATGTCTGCACTAATCACAGTTAATTTAGTTCACTGTATCCTATAGTCTTTGTACCGATGACTGGTCGATATATAACCGATTAAGCTTATGTAATAATTGAAATCATGTTATGGATATATACTTGTATTATTATTCAAAATTTTTGTAATACCCACATGTTTTTTTTAATAACGTGTAATTCAAACTGTAACCCAATGCATATCGATCTGATTCAATGTTCTTCAAGTTCTTTACCTGCATAAAATGCAAGTATAGGAATCATCCAGTGCTGACTATGGAAGAATAGAATAGGATTTCCTCCAGTAGCGGTAGCCGGTATACTAATGCCATGTTTATTCGGCCTATAGAGGTGTCCACTCATCAGTGTGGCATGAGTCCGTGTATATGTCATACCTTCGTATTAGAGAATCAATAACTGCAATCAGTAACTGCAAAGCAAGTGCATTGTAAGAGCAACCTTATATCTTTGAACGTCAGTACATAGTCAACAAGAAAGTTAATTACAAATAAATTCCTTCCCTAACTATTACTAAAAATACATTTTTTGCACAAAACTAATAAAGAGACTTCCTTTCACTTACTTTTTACTTACTGACGTTTTATTCCTTGATCTTACTTTCATTCCAAGTTTCAATCAGTTGAAAGCAGGAGTTACACCAGAAAATGTTAACAACATAAAATTGTTCACCGACATCACTGAAAAGTTGTGGAGAATTTAGATTGTTGATCGCTAATTTAATTTAATGAGTATAGTGCTTAAAGCATTTAGATTATCGAACAATTGATCATTTTTTACTGACCAATTATGTACCAAAGAGACTAGCATGTTTTTACAGCTGATTTTTAATTAATTTGAGTAAAAGTAATGATTATCAATGTTATATTTATTTATCTCAGGTATTGTAAAATGTTTTATCCTATGATAAGTATTAGTATTTTATTTAACATCCAAGAGCGTCAAGTAATAACACATTAATCAGCCATAGTCTTCAATGTTCATGCTATTTTTTTCTGGCCTTTGTTCGCCATCTAGTTTCTGGGAACGGACTTGTTTAAGAAAAATGCTGACCGCAGCAATTATCAATTGATTCCTTAATTTAATTAACGATGGCAATGATGGAGTCAGCAAGATTGTAAATGTTGCTGAGCTCGATGAAGAGCCTTCAACTTCTCTCTATAAATGATAACACGTATGTCTTAACCATTGATTTTTCGACACTCACAGAGAAGGTGGACTTTTATAGAACAATATTTGCATCTGGAACAAATGGCTTCTTTCTTGGAGTGACGTATTAGAATTTAATACAAGGGTGAACGGCTGTCGGTCTCCTGTACATTTAATTGCTACAGAACAAACTGTGCAGACAAATCGAATGTGAATGATAGATCAACTTTGACGACGATATTGGTAGAGGCTCGGCAGCATGAACTTCGTTTTTTGTCGTGACAGTTTGACTTCGGAACAGCAGAGCTGTCGATGTGAATTAAATGATTGTAGTAATCGATAATGATGCACATTGATATGATTTGAGATTTTTTTAGATCTTGAGATTAAAACTAAGGTCTTCTTCTTCGCTGATGAGCATTGATTGACCGCATGATGAAATCCGCATTCCGTCTCAAATAATCCTCCTTAGCTGATGGAGTAAATTTGTTTATTAGGTGAAAAAATTAGAATCGAAATTAATATAACTAACATAACTTGCTGCGAAATTTTTTTTTCCTCCCAGGACTCTTTTTTTCATTTTACAAAAGTGCCGTCGAAATTTTTCTTCTCTGCATAACCCTAAGTTTTCAGTTTGGAGATATAGTTCATGTAAACAAAGTATGTCTAACTTAATTTTGGTTTAAAGGATCTCTATTTATGATTAGATATTTTACATGTTGGTTTAATAGACTTATTATCATCACCATCTGATCACATTCGATTTTCTAAATCACTACGTGAAATTTCAACTAAACAAAATTTAACAACAATAAAAAATTTTCTGCTAGGTGGAGTGGATAAAAATTTATTAGTTAACTTCGGCAAATTGTACATACAAAGATGCGGGTAAGCATCACGATCGTTAGCATTTTCATCTATGAACACAAATAACTAATATATTTTTTAACGCTTGGAGGAAATGAAGTTGGTGTTGCATTATTTGTCGACTTTGGTGAAATTACTATAACACATCATGAAAAAACGAGAATAACGACTTGAAAATATATAGAAGTTATTACTAATTGTGAACATCGAAGACACGAGAAGTTATTGATAAAACGGACATTTTTTATTTTAACAGAATTTTGAGTTGTATAACTGAGTTACTGCGTTGTGTTCATAGCTATTTACTAGAAAACTTCATTATTTACCTTACAAGTAAATAACCTAATAACGCAGCTGAAATATTAGTATCTTTTATTTCGATCTTAACATTCGTGCTCCGTCATCTGATAGTATTGAAAGTTCTTTAAGGCTCCTCTTTGGGTAATTCTAAGAAACTCTTCAATATAATTGACCCGAAAATAAGCGGACCGTTAACTGTCTTAGTTAATAAATGCCTTAATTGCTAAATCAACTTCAATTAATTTGGACGGTCAGCCTGACGCGTTCAGTTGAAGCTCCTTGCCCTGTCATGGACGAGTGTGTACCAGTGACGCCCTGCACTCAGGCGCTGCCCACGCGTGGCAGGTACGCTTGTGCTGGGGACGCTTGCTTGCCTGCGCTGCTAATGTGCACATGCCATTTGTTGTGGCAGGTTATATTGCATCACAGGAAAGTCCGTAGCAGATGATTATGACTTGAAAACTAAATGATTTCTTGGTTATTAACTATACTGTTATGTTGACTGGATTATTTTTTGAGATTGATCATATTTTTGTTATTGTTCTAGTGAAAATTTTGCAAAGTTTACATCTCAAGTGTTATACACCCTTTATTTAGATTAATTTTCATTAATTTAAGAGGCACAAAATTACATCTGATCAAATTTTATCGCTACCTGTAAAAACTGAACACTAAAAATACACCAGAAATTGTTGTGACAGTCATTATTAAAAAAAATATTATCTACAATAATTTCTGAGCGAATGCTTGTGTTCAGCGAAGAATAGACCATTCCTGACTAAACGCGTGCTACAGCAGAGTGCCCGGACCAACAGGCATTTAAATTTGAAATAACATCAATCAAGCGTTCTTTTAAATGAATCAACTACTGCTCTAATCATCATTGTTTCTACGTCATTTGCCTGTAGGGGATCCCTGCTGCAGTCACATGGGTTTGCAAGCTCAGGAGTTCATGTGGGCGCGAGAACTCCTTCCTTTTCCCGTTCTGCGCACGCCCTGCATTGAGGAGGAAGAAGTCATGCTTAATTGTTTCACTCCTGCATTGGCTGTGACAGACGCTGACAGTGCGCGCCTGTAGTTGATGCTAACAAGGAATTGCACATCGCAATGAATATCTAATATGTGTATTGGTAATTCCTCACTTGCTTCGCTAGGTATTTTATATTAGTAGGATGAAATGTACACAGGTACATGTATTTATGAACTATATCGGAAGGCTGCGTTATGTTTGGCTCCTTATATAGAAGAATGACAGTTTTTTTTACTTTTTGTAGGACGCGTGTTGAGCGAGACGACCGATCTGGTTATTATTTGTGCCACCAGCAAGTAACATTACTCACATGCGGAAAAAACACGCAAGCGCTTTTATTAATATCTGCTCTTGAGGGAAACTATATTTACTGAGAAAAATTTTTTCCCCACCTTTGACCTTGAAGATGAAAGATGAAATCGTTCGTGGCAATTATGTGTGACAACTTCAAACAAATGTGGCTATAGTTCCTTGCAAATGGCTGGTGTGGCGTTCTAACTCACCTGACGTAACCTCTGCGGCGCTGCTAAGTACGCGGGAGAAAAATCGTCCCTAGAGTGACTAAGGGTGTTTTTGCTATGTCCGTGGCCATCTTTAATTAGCACCAAGGTTGTAAGGAAGTGCAGTGAAAGATTCCGAATTTGTATCAGGAGTAACGTCAATGGCTCTTTAGAAAATTAGAGAACAATCAATCGATGAGTACTTTATCAGATTCAGATATTGTGTCAAATCTCCCAACCCACCGAACAAATTGCGATAAAACTCTGTTCACAAACTCGTGAGAATCTCCGAAGTATGTTAAGGTTATGAATTTTTTTAAATTCAAATTTACTTGCAAGTTTTATACCTATACGGGCCTATTCAATGTTTGTTTTATTAAGGAAACCGTGCAGCGTGTTTATGTTAATAACATAAATTAACTATGACGCGAAAGTTCCGCTCAATTAATTCAGGGATTAGTTTTTGGTGATGATAAGCTCCAATTTTTAAATAAAAACCATTCGCCAATAAGATGCTCCGTATTGCCTTATAACGCGGGAAGGAAGTTTAAAAAAAAAATGTTTCTACCAAATTTAAAATATGATCGAATGATAAGATTTGGGTCACTGCAAGTTGCCCGACCAGCGGCAAGATCTGTCGTGAGAATGTTTGTTGTATCCTATTCAGCAACTCTACATTTGAAACTTCTTTTGAATGTTTTTTTCCAAATCTGTCAACTTCGAGACTTATCAAACTTAAATCTGGATGACTGGGGATGATATCCAGCACCGATCGAACAGTATATTAGCTTATTTATTATAAAAGTGTTAGTTTCATAATGTTGCGTTGATAATTCTATAATTTCATCTGAATTTTCGTCACTATAGCTGTAGCTATTCTAATGTGTTGTTGTTTTCCCAGGATGCTTCCACAACGGTCAATACTTTCAAGAAGGAGATGTCATCACCGACAACTGTAATACTTGGTGAGCTGTACCATCTTTCTGTTTTACTTATTATCAATCTTCATGTATTTAAGCTTAAAAACCTCCGTATGTGTGTCTATGCACTTAGTAATATGCGTGACGAAAAAGAAAAGTACCTATTTCTATCTCAAGTTAGCATGAATTGCAATTGGAAGCAAATAAAGTGAGAATTAATTTCGTTGAAACGTCCCAGAGACTGGCTTCATCTGCTAACATATGAGCTTCCTGTAATATGCCTCGTTCTTTTAGTTGTTCTTTGAATTCCTAAATCATAATAAAGCTGATCTCGACCTCGTTTTCAATAAAATAATGGTAGATTAACTTGGGAGTTTATGCGTTTTTAGATTCGTAACGAATTATAAAATAACGATTTTGCGGTAGTTTTTTTTAACGGAATGGTCGATTAATCCTACAAATATTAGGTAATCCCATTGTATCCGTTGATTTAAGCCGGGCAAGACTTTCTCGCTGAAGTGTTGGCAGATAATTCATACTGCGTGTCAGGCGAGGCGATGTTTCAACACTAGTCGTAAAACATGAAAGACATGACAAATGAAAAGTGTACGTATGTATACAAAAGTCTGAAAACCTAAATTCTACTTTTGTGTTGCTTTGGATCTCTAAACGGAGGAAAAAATCAATATCTGTACATAATTCGCGTCCCAGCTAGTGTAATACAAATCAGATTATAATGAGCGTTAGTAATAGAATTAAAGATAAAGGAAGAGAATTTACATGACAGTTTTTTTCGCTGCTTGATGCTGATTTTTTTTTTTCGTTTTTGAAGACGTTAGTGTGGCAATGATTGCGTCAGACGAAGCTGGTGAGGGGTGGAACGTCGGCTGTCTCTCGCTCATAATTAATAAACAGTATATTTTTTTATTCGCGTGTAACAATCTTGCGAAATCGAAGATGAATTTTCCTCATAATGGCGTCAAATGAACTGTTAAGAATTTTATCTTGATTTTGCTCCTTATGAACCGGTCCAAACTCACGACAGCCTTGTAAATTTCCACCTAAATTTCGTTTTATTATTCCTCCATTCCTGTTCTTTTTCCTGTATCTAGATATTAAAGAGGAGTATCTCACAATTTTTCATATCAGTAAACGGATTCACCATGAAAATCCTCAAAGAACTTAAAAGGCCTTGATATGATAAAATTATTTATTTAAAAATTATAGACTTAGCTTGCTTCGATCACCATATTTGCGTTGACAAGATTCCCCACAATATCTGTTGCTCGTGAGTAAGTGAGCGTGAGTAATGGCTGAGCTTGACTCATGGCACGCGACCTGACTTACGTCAGTGCCTGACATGCACTTGACAGACGTATCTGTCACGACGTAATTATATAGTAACGTCTATGAGGCAGGCGTGTTCACAGCCTTTCATAAATTACGAGGACATATGGATGCAAAATTAATTAAATTGGCAAAAGGGATGTCATCGGTGTGAATGTCCTGCATATGTGGTTTCATCTCTTTTTTGTGGTTGATGGATATCACATAGGATTCATGTTTCAGAATCATTTAAGCTAAAATATGAAGATCCCAAAATTATGAGACATGTATAACTGAAGGAGCATTTTTAATGTATTATCGTGGTACGGAGTAAACGCTACCTACAATACATTTGCTCGATCACAGAAATAGAAAATGCTAAAAATTTGTACTTATTTGAGGGATTCTTTTTGGAATGAAAAGTTAACTTCGAAATATCACTTGTTCACTTAGCACAAGAGCATGAAATCATGTGCAAGTTAAAGAATACTATTTATTTCTCGAACTCAAATACGTGTTATGTTCATCAACCAATAAAAATTTCCAATAGGTGTACAGCGCCAAGGTTTACGCATAAACTTATCTCAACCATGAGAGATAACACACACTGGCACTGACCTTCGCGCTACCTATTATATGCGAACAAGATACCATTGTTAAAGACTTACCTACTTACTATAAGAAGTTGCAGACAGTGGTAAGGCGTGTTATTAATCCTTGAAATAAAAATGAGGTATTTTGATGTGCAAATGAATTTTATCATGGCCTGAATGTACCTTTGATATTACATTAATAATGAAACACCTATAATTGCATATAAAATGAACAAAATACGAGTATTATTACATAAAAAATACTTACATGTATAATGAGAATAAAAAGGTTTCATGAAATGAGAAAACATGTATAATGAGAATAAAAAGGTTTCATGAAATGAGAAAAAAGGTTTCGTTTCTTCAACGAAACCTGCCTAAAGAAACAACTTTTGCCAACCTACATATACTAATATAATGAGGAATATACCATTTTTCAATAAATTAAAAATTTTCCTCTTATTATTGTATTAAAAATGTACCACTTATTTTTACGTTAAAAATGTCGCAGTTATTATTACATCAAAAATGTGCTGGTTTGTGCAGCCCGTGTTGCCCAACGGCGTAGATATATCATTTATCAATAAATTAAAAATTGTAATCTATTATTGTACTAAAAATGTAACACTTATCTATACATTAAAAATTAACCACTCATTATTACATTAAAAGTATCGCAGTTATTATCACATCAAAAATGTACCACTTATCTATACATTAAAATTTAACCACTCACTATTAAATTAAAAGTATCGCAGTTATTATTACATGAAACATGTACTGTTCTGTGCAGCGAGTGTTTGCCCAACGGCGTAGATATATCATTTATTAATAAATTAAAAAATTTTACCTATTTTGTACTAAAAATGTACCACTTACGTATTTATACATTAAAAATGAACTACTCATTAATACATTAAAAGTATCGCAGTTATTATTACATAAAATATGTACTCTTTTGTGCAGCGAGTGTTTGCCCAACGGCGTAGATATATCATTTATTAATAAATTAAAAATTGTTACCTATTATTGTACTGAAAATGTACCACTTATCTATACATTAAAAATGCACTACTCATTATTACATTAAAAATGTCGCAGTTATTATTACATGAAAAATGTACCACTTATCTTTACACTAAAAATGCACCACTCACTATTACATTAAAAGTATCGCAGTTATTATTACATCAAAAATGTACCACTTATCTTTACATTAAAAATGCACCACTCATTATTACATTAAAAGTATCGCACTTATCATTACATGAAAAATGTGCTGGTTTGTGCAGCGAGTGTTTGCCCAACGGCGTGGCGTCGTGCACCAACACCAGGTGTTTGGTGGAGGCCTCCCTCCTGCAGCAGCTCGGGGGTGACCAGGCCGGCACCTACCCCAACAGATGGGGATGGCAGGCCACCAACTACACCATCTTCTGGGGCAGGAAGCTGGAAGAGGGAGTCTTGCATCGAACTGGCACTGAGCACACCGATGTCAACGTGCGTATACAAAGGGAGTGTCTCTGTTGCCGATTTTATAGAATATCGATTTAGGATTTGGCTAGTTTAAGTATTTATGGGGTGAATTTTCCAAAATGCATGATCCTTTTATTAAACACATGGTCAGAATAAATATTTTTTAATAAGAAATTTTCCCAAATGCAAGAAATTGTTAATTACTTGGCCGGCAAAAATCTTTTTCGAAGAAGGAAATTTTCACTCTCGATTTAATTTGTTTGTTTGTCAATGACTGAGAGGATGTCTGTTGTGCTACTGGGCATCTCTGTGAGCGAAGGGAGATTTTCATCGTCATTTCCGCGTTCACGCAAATTATTAGTTTCATCTAACAGCCGTCGTTGAATAAGCTCGTAGCTGCTTCATAACATCAACGAAATAAACACAACAGCGAAATAATTAGAATCATCCATTTATTATTTAACGATCAGTACCGCAGGAAATATTAAAAATTTTATTGTCACTTCTTTGCTTTCCATGCACTAAAAACAGTATGGAAAAAAATTTCCCATGGTTGTCGTAATTCAATTTAAAAATTAAAGGTTGATTCGTGCAGCTGAACCCGATATTCCTGGACTACAACCCGGCCACCATTCCACCCGAGTTCGACGCGAGGGCCAAGTGGCGGCAGCGCATCAGCCGCGTCCGTGACCAGGGCTGGTGTGGTTCATCGTGGGCGTTCTCAACCATCACCGTCGCTACTGACAGGTAAGCAGAGTGGTAGTCTGAGTGGTAATAGTAGTAGTGGTGGTGGTGGTCGTAGTACTAGTGGTAGTAGTAATAGTAATCAGACTGCATATGTTGTAGTTTGACTGCTTATGCTGTAGTCAGACTGCATTTGTTGTAGTCTGACTTTCGCCGAAAATACTTCCGGGAAGCAGGAATGCTTTAAGTTGTATGACCGCGTGCATGTCTTATGTCTTCATTTCAATTGCGTTTGTATGCTCTCGGTGAAGTTCTTCAGAAGAAATAACAATTTGCAGGAGTCTTAAGTTTACATTTCCATAGTATTAGAATAGTTACTTTAAGAAATACTCTGAAGAAAACAAATGCTGGCAGGTTGGCGATCGAGTCTGAGGGGCTGGAGGCGGTGCCGCTGAGCCCTCAGAACTTGATCAGCTGCGACCGCCGCGTGCAGCAAGGCTGCGAGGGCGGCAAGATCGAGCGCGCGTGGCAGTACCTGCGCCGATACGGGCAAGTCTACCCTCAAAAATATAACTCAGTACTCACTGCAATGAGTGACAGAGAGCGCATTTTCTCGTCGACAAAAACGTGAAGTCACGGACAGACAGACAGACAGACGGATGAACGGACATGACGAGCACAATAGTGCATTTTTTCCTTAAATGAGAAAATGCGCTAAAAATGGATTGGTCATCTTGTCCAAATAGTGGCAAGCTTTTTTTTTTACTTAGCACTGATATACTTTTTTGCCGGGCCGAGCTGGGTCAGTATGACCCACCTATGGGTAAAAATGCATCGCTATTTGGAGAATCACCCTCATTTCTCTGGGTGGATATAACTCAGTTTACGGTCTGTCTTTGAGATTAGTAGCCTTTATTACATCGGCCCTACCAGTTTAAAGGAAATTTTTGCATCGTCTGTCAGTTTTTACTGCTTATTCGAGATTTCAAAATTTTTTATCACATCGGAGTTAATCTCAACGACAGTGTAGAAATTCCAGTGTAGTGTAGAGTGGTGTAGAAATTTCCGTGTTCACTACTGCAACAATTTCCGGTGGCCGGCAATAATTTCTTTTTCGGCTCGTGTAGAAGGTTTTTTTATCTAATTATTCCAGCATCGTACTGACTAATAGGTTCATCCTATTTTCTAGGTATAAAAATGTATTTTCTTTCTCCGTTTGAATCTCTTTGGTAAAAAATTTTCTCGTTCCAATTACATTTATGATGCTTACTGGACACATTTTAAGTAAACGAATAGAGCTGCATTTATTCGCTCACTTAAACTATTCAAACTTGAATTTCGTTAAGTCTGACTACTCCAAAACGTATCGCCATGTTTCTTAGTACCAAATGCTCTTCCATTGTCCTACGTCCCCCCTAGTGAAGGATTTGACTTGTTTTTATTCTTCGTCAGCGTGGTAGACGAGACGTGCTACCCCTACACCAGCGGCACATCATTCGTCAAAGATATCTGCAAGATCCCGCGCCGCTCCTCGTTTTTAACTGTCCAGTGCGATTCTCCTGCGCACGTGAGTATATATTCTATGTTTCCTGCATGTTAGTTAGTGCCGTGCAGTGAGATACTGCATGGAAATATGTAGCGTTTCTTGCAGTGATAAGGGGGAACTGTGATTTTAGTCAGTGTGCCCACTCTGACTCCGTTAATCTTAGGAAAAAGTTTTTCGCGTTAGATTAGAATAAGCTAACTTTTTGGTCCATTTTGTGATGATTGTGGTAAAAATTCCGAACTATCCTAACATATATTTGCCTCTGAACCAAAAATTATTTTGCAGCAAGCTGTCGGGCGCGAGTCTTTGTACAAAATGGAACCCGCCTACAGAATTCGGAGCCGAGAGAGCGACATTCAGTATGAGATCATGACCAACGGTCCAGTGCAGGGTTAGTCCAGGTGTGCAGTGCAGAGTGAGCCCTGCAGTTCAGTGTATTGTGAGTTCAGCGGCGGTCCATTGCAGAGTGAGTCCAGCTCTTCAGTGCAGGATTAGTCCAGGTGTCCAGTGCAGAGTTAGTCCCGCTATCCAATGTAAGGGTACGCACACAGTGAAAGCAGGTTTGCCCGCGCGGGCAACCTGCTCCAACCTGCCACAACCACAAGAATGAACATAGGATAATAATGTAAGTGTTCACAGTGAAAACCTGTACGAATAGGCTTCTGTATTCTATGGTTTCAGGCGCCAGCCTGAGCAGGTAACCAGCACGCTGGCAACCTGCTTTCACTGTGTGCGCACCCTAAGGTGAGTCCGGCAGTCAGAATATGAGTATGCAAAAATTTCATGATATATAACTTATAAATTATTCCACCAGCTCGTATGCGCGTGGAGCAAGACTTCTTCTCATACATGAGCGGCGTGTACTCGAGCTCCGGGCTCAGCGATCCCTCCGTGGTGGGACATCACTCGGTGCGCCTCATAGGCTGGGGCGAGCAGTACTCGGACTATGAGCGACGACCTGTCAAGTACTGGGTCAGTTATATAGCTAAAATTAACATCAAATATATATTTTTTTCTATCTATAATCTGTCTTTAATATCCTAACACCAAAATTTTACTTAAAATTAATCTTTTTTTATTTTCCCGTATAGTTGATAATTTTTGCACTGATCTAGAAATTTCGAGACGGCTAAACCTGCCTGAGCTTGTTGGAACCATTGCAAATGAACGTTATATCAATGGCATTTTCTCTAATACACAATCAAATGTTTAATGGATTACGTAGGCGCAAGTTCATTTATGGCCAGGTAACGAACAATAGATCTGACGCCACCTAGAACATTGAAAAAATGTAGCAGTTCATTAGTCAATAATTGAAATTCAGCGTAGTGCATACCATTGTTCAATTAATTATGAATAATGAAACAACGATATTACTTCTAAAATTATATATGTACTATGTCACTTAAATCAATACGTATACTCCATTAACGAACTTATCACTGAAATAATACGAATATTATTAAAATTAATCAAATAATCTAATTTTGCGACTGATTCTCAGATTTCATCCGATATTTGCGAATAAGTGGCATCTTATTTCGTTTAAATTTTATTTCAAATTTGGAGACAATACGAAATAGAAGAAAACTTTTTTGAGTTGCGGACACATTGGTCTCTTTATGGAAATGCGCATCCATTAGTCTTCTACAAGCAAAAAAAAATATGAAAAAATATGCAATATCCACGTACTTATGAAAAATTTATCAAATGCCCTAGAAACGAAGCGATCATTCAATATTTATTAAACGTATTAACACACGTACGGCTCAAAAAAAAAGAATGCGGAAAAAATCTCTTGCAGCTCCTGCAGATATAATGTACTTGAATTAAGTTTTGTTATATGCATATATCTTAAATTGTTATCATTGCAGTTGGCTGCGAACTCCTGGGGAGAAGACTGGGGAGAGCGCGGATTGTTCAAAATACGGCGCGGCGTCAACGAGTCCGGCATAGAGGAGAACATTCTCGCTGTGCGCGCTGGTCTCCTCACTCAGTACCCGTCCAACCTGATAGCCGATGCCCAGTCTGAGTGGTTCTATATCTGATCTTATTATACCACTATAACATAAGTTAAAGTTACATAGTGTTTCATAACATTAGTATATCTACTGTTATTTGTGACTTTGAGTGTCAAAGTTTCGTTGCTAGTACAGTCATTTGCAAAAGTTTAAGACCACCCACAGAATTTGAACTAAATCAGGAATTGACCCTTTTTGGATGAGTGATGTACAAGTTTGAGCCTGCGGCGGGCCTAACGGTAGCTGCAGGCGATCAGAGGAGTGTGTTCGTGCGTCATTTACCTCCCAGCTCTTGCATGAGAAGATTATAGCTGCAAGACAGCAGAATATTCTTTTATTAGAAATGGGTAGAAAAGCTTCTCTTACCGAAGTCCAGAGGGCTCAAATTGTGCTCTTACATGACGAAGGTTATTCTGTATGCCAGATTTCGCGAAAGATGAGATGCAGCAAGACTGCAGTTAACAATGCAATACGCAAGTTTGAACATGATAGCTATTATTCAGACAAGAAAAGGTCGGGGCGTCCGAGGAAAACAACCAGCCGTGATGACAACATGATGAAGCTTACTGTTGCAAGATCTCCAACAAGTTCCTGTAAGAAAATTCAAGGAATTTTGCTTCGAAAAGGATGTGAGCTGAGCATCAGTTCTATTTCACGCCGTTTAAGCAAAGAATTTTACCTAAAGAGTTTCACGCCTGCTCAAAAACCAAAGTTAACTGCAGCCATGAAAATTAGGCGATTGAATATTGCTTGGAGACATCAAGATTGAACGGTTGCCAAGTGGAACACAGTGTTGTTTTCAGATGAAATTGCATTTTAGCAGTCTGGGTTACGCCATCAAAACATTAGGCGACCAGTTGGTAAAAGATTTGAAGAGAAATATACAGTACCTACCATGAAACATCCACCCAGTGTCATGGTTTGGGGGCATTTAGCCATAATGGGACAGCTGGATTGGACTTTCTGCCTCAGAAAACAACCATGAATGGAGCAGGGTACCTCAAGCTGCTTCAAGAAAAGCTTGTACTACACGTGGGAATATACCAGTGTAGTATTTTCATGCAGGATGGTGCTCCATGCCATCGGGCCAGGCAGGTGAAAGATTTTTTGACCTCAAACCACATTGAATTGCTGGACTGGCCTAAAAATGGCCCAGACTTGAATCCCATTGAAAATTTGTGGTCAGTCATGAAGGATAAGGTAGCAGCAATGCAACCTTCAAATTTGAAGTCATCAGAAAAATGCATTAAGCTGGTATGGTGCAAAGAATTTTGCAAGGAGTACTGCCAGAATATTATCAGCAGTATGCCACGACGAATCCAGGCTGTTATTGACAATAAAGATGGACACACTAGGTTCTGAATATATCAAATGTATCATAAATTGCTTGTTATTTATTCACTTTGTCTCATCAAATACAAACAGTTTGAATATTTTGCCTAATTATCATTTTTTAATACAAAAAAAAAACAAATTCGGAAGGTGGTCTTAAACTTTTGCAAATGACTGTATTTACCTTAGCATAAAAAATGTACGGAGTTCAACTTTGTTCAGATCATGTACATGGAACAATAGATGTGACGGCTGAGAACATTGCACTGTGCAAATTGTTTCAAATAGCTTCAGGAGCTGCAAGGAGCTGCAGCATTTTTTTCTGGAGAACATGGGATGGAAATATTTCAAGTATTTTTACATGTTGCGCCAGTTGAAATATTTGCATGCCATGTGCAAAATTATAACTCTATTCAAGTGTGCCAGTTTTCTTCGCAAAGAATGTTTATTATCGATGCACTTTTTCCAAGACTATGGTGCCAATATCTTACTGTAAATTGACTTGAGAAACAAATTACAGCACAGAAATCAAAAAAATCGCGATCTTAACTCGCCTCATTTGTTTAATTTGTTGCGTTATAGAACAGGGGCTACCAATTAATAAGGCAAGCTTGAGGCTATGTCGTGGATGTTGAAATTTATGACTGAGCCAAATTAAATCTCGTTAATTGGAAAAAAATGTTTTCATGCAAGAAATTTTATATAACTGGACGTCTTAATATTTGCTGCTGAATACCTTAGCTCTGAAGCCACAGCCTCGTACCAAATACTTGTTTGCTATTCTTAAGATACCTTCACTGCCTTACATTGTTGTTGTATGTGATTCAATGATTAACTTCTTAGATTAGCTACTGTTGAATGTACACTTCTTGTTAAATGCCTCTTAAATGTTCAGTTTCATGCTGCACTCAAATACTGCATGTGTAACCGAACCGTAAACTGGATTGTTAAATTAAAATGAACGTTGAACAAGTCTCGAGCGTAAATAAATCAGACTGCAGATATTATTATATTCGTATTAATTGGTTATAAATATTCCAATTTCCACTGGAATCCTATCCCGTGTAGGCATTGAGAAAGAATATTATTGTAATATAAACCAAGTCGCCATCTAAAATGAATCAATTAATTAGACTAATGTATGAGGGATCCACTCGTTTGGTTACCTACAGACAAACGGTCGGCATAAGACTCGATAAAAGACAACGTATGTACGGTGATCAGATTTCCGTCTGTTGATTTAAATGCAATTTTACCAATTATATTTTGTCGAAACAAATTGTACAAGTTAAGGAGCTTTCATTTATTAACGACGGTTATTTTTAGTTATTTAGAGCCTGACCTGTGTTGATCTTGTTATGGGGTATAAGATTCATCGCAAAAATATTCTGAACATATAACTTTATTCTGACATTTTTCCACTTGAAAATGATCCAATGGTATCCTATCTCTTTGTGACTTATTCGTGCATTTGAAGCAATTAAGAAGAATAACATTATGTATTTGTATTTGATTTTCAATAACATTAATTCCTATCATTATTCTGTATAAAAAATAATAATTTTATGAAGCGCCAATGGAAGCTTTTCCTTCGAATATTTCTTATCATGAACACGAACTTACTGCTTTTGTATTGCTATGTTGTTGTTCATTTCGATGTTCATGTGTTACTGATGATGGTAGGTATTTTTAGATTAAACTCATGTTGTTCATTAAAGTAAAGCAAACGATCTTTTATCTACCCCTTGAATTGGTTTTCATGCATACTATGTTGGTTGAGTAATTTTATTGCTGTATTCAATTTCGATTTTAGGACAAATTTGATATTTAAATGCTGCAAAGATTACAGATTTATTAGCTGGTAACTTAGATGAATATGATAGTTGATCTGTATTTCTATGAAGAGTCGCATGCCCGTGCCTATGAATAACGATCATTTTAAAGCCTGCCTATATAATCATTCATATACTTAATTGAAATTTTTCCTAATGACACTGATTCTGCAGACAATCTACAAATTATATTTTGTTTCAGAAGAATTGCCTCTTATTCCGGCATGTCCAATATCGTATTCATCGTGTCTTTGGGCATGAACGCTCATTTTTTGGCGAATGTTTTTAAAAGTTAACTGCAAACAGTGACATCGAAAAAATTTATTTATTATATTTCAATAAGTTGCAGGATTGACAATTTTCGCTAATATTTCCAAATTGAAAGGGACATAGTTCCCCAGCAGTTTTCAATTGCTATATGTTGTTTTCCAATGGAAAAATAAAGTCGAAAAAATTCTCCACGCTTTAGGTATTGCATAAAATGTTTTATGGAGCTAGATTATTAATGTAGGTGAATAAAGATAAAGTGCAATGTCCTATAATAAGATAGACGGCCAACCTCAGCCAATTGAAATGTAGTTGCATTTTCAGCCCGAAAATGCAAGAAAAATATATGGCTTAAAAAAGATCACTTGCTCTCCTACCGATAATTTGTAGTTCTTTTCAAATCACCATATTTTCACTTGACACGTAATTTTCCATTCTGTTCGGAAACAGCGTATAAACGCAGTCGACACGACATGCTGAGGAAGTAAACTGATTTTGTGACTCCTTTCTGAAATAGTGGAATAGTGGAGCATCCTAACGTGCTTAGCGAATAATGCGCGTTCAAAATATTCAAGGTGGAACTGGATGCCAAGTGAATTTTAATTGCTGTTCATTTCAGAAATTTAACCCATCAACACATGTTTTCATAGATACAGATCGAGTACAGATTTTTTTTTATACCAGTTAACAGGTCGATCGAATGTATTACGAGTTTCTGGTTACAAATGTCTCCTTTTTAGGCAAATACTTGGTTTTCATGATAATATATAAGGCAATATAATTGATATACCAATATTAAAACCGTTTCCTCGACAGTTCAGTCCCCTCAGGGGGGGACTTCTGACGCGTGTCTGTGCTCGTCAGAAGTCCTATGGGATTTCGCGTTCCTAGGGGGATTGTTCCTGAGCGCCCTACCGCTGAGCTCGCGGTGTCTGACTGCAGGTCTCAGTTGTGGGGTTAAGTTATTATGTAGGTAGGATTCCTTATATTTCCCTTCTCTGTCTCTCTCGTGCGGGCGGCCGACGTCCCGTGTAAGCGACTTCTTGTTCGAGTGTCTTCGTTTCTGTTGCTTTTCACCTGTCCCTCCTTGTCACTTCGTCTCTTTGAGATGCTAGCGCTGCTTCTTTCGAGCCAGCTTCAGCGGGCTGGACATCTGAGACCTTCCGCCCCTTGTGGGTGATGAATAATTGAGACCTTCCACCTCTATGGTGATGTTCATCTTGACTTTCGGTGCGAGATAGCTAAATAGCTGAAGCGCTAGTAAACATTTGGCCACTAAACTAAACTAAACTCGACAGTTCAGTATTAGTTTCTACCTCCTGCCATGCTGAGCTCCAAGCTAAAGAGGAAGTACAATAATCGTGTACTAGGTTAGCTTTATTGGTTTAATATAAGGTACAAACAAGTTACAGTTATTGAATAAATCTGCACTGAGCACAGAAAAACGAATACATAGTACAAACGCTGGCAAAGTTATGGCAAATAAATATCAGATAATCAATCAATTATATGAACAAGAAAAAATAGGAACGTATGGCTCGTATATAATTCACTAGGAACACTGAACAGATAATTCTAACATGATAACTAAGACAGGTAAAGCGAATAGACCTCCGACATCGGTCACAGAAGCTTGAAAAGTGACCGGCCAAGAGATATGCGTCCGCAATCGCCGCTGTATTGCCCTTGGCGCTGTTCCAGCCATTTTTTCTCGCATGGGTTTTACGTTTGGTGAAACGAATCCGTCCCGCGGCTCCATGAATACAAGCATTCAAGATATGAGGTTTAAGTTGAAATTCAATCCACTCCTCGTTTTGAACAATTTTCTAAACTTTTAACTTGCTTCACCACCTTGAAATACGGTACGATTGTATGGAAATTATTCATGGAATTTAAAAATTCTCTGATCATTTTTTGAGTTCATATTGCAGCAGCAACGAAGTCGTAATTGGGCTTCATTTGGCATCGTTAGGACCGACAACGAGAAAACATGCCGGAAAATTGAACCAAATTAGGCGCTCTAAACTAGCATTGCGCCAATCAAGTCTAAGTAATGATGCGTCATTCTTAGCCAGGTGAGTGCAGTGGGCTTGCAGCTACTCACGTGTCATGAAGAAACTCACAAAGATTCATCTCAAAACTTCATCATGAATGAGCCGCTCGTTACAATTATCGGTCGTTATCGGAGACTCACGTCTCTTAGTTCGGATGGGTACATTTCAGGATATACGATATGCACTTCCATGAAAATACGCGTATATTACCACGCTTTCAGTAGCACAAGAAGTCTGCTTGGGAATTAATAACGGCCCCTGAATATGATTGTCAACATGATATAGCTTCCAATAGCATTAAAAATTGAATCCATCATGAAATTCCATCAATCATTTCAGAAAAAACATGACCTCTATATGAGGCGAATTTGTTCAGTTAAGAGCGAACGTTCTCTACGCATTCAATCTTAACGAAAAATGTTACCAACAAAAATTTGTACTCTCCCCGTAGTTTCTGGAACTATGCAACCGAGAACACATCTCTGACTCGTATAATTGATGCGAGTAATTTTTAAAAACTTGGAAACTCAAGTTGACGTCTCAACTGCAAGGGCCAATAAGATTTAACTTTTTTAAGGGTACAATAAGATTTTATGGCCCAACACGATTCCCTCTAAAATATGCGACAACAACAATTACTGCATAAACAATATAATTAAAACGAGTGCAAAGACAGTAATTGAGAATATTTTGACGTGATCGGCACTCAAACAAGTTATTAAAATCTAATGATGCATGATTCATCATGAACTATGATATTAATCCAAGAATGTGTCTCAGTTGTGGGATAGACTGCAAATGTAAGATAGAACATTCACAATTCATACTACAAAGTTTTTATCTCAAATGTTGATAATTCTTTCAGTTTTACTACTGATTTCAAAAACGAGTCTTTTCCAAATGATCTATCACTTCAGATGTTAATAATGCTTGGTAGCGCATGTGCGAATGTT